CACCCCATCCCTGCACCGAGACCTGCCTACACCCGGGCCATTGCTACCGACCGCGGGTCATAACAATTGGAAGCAACCTCACCAACCCAATCTCTCACGTTAAAGAAGCAGAAGTAGTTGCCTACCTCCTTGGCGGACCCACATTTGTTATTATAGTTTGGTTCTATATTTGTTGCGTGTACTCTTGTTTCAATGTCCTTCACTCGGCTGCCCCGTGCATAATGCAAACGCACGGAGCCCACCGTCTGATGAAGTCAAACAGGAATGAAAGACCAACTTCTGGGGAACATTCTTTCACACGTTGCAGACACTCAGACAAATTGCAACGAACGACACCGTCTCCGAGAGAATTAGTTACATGCTGTAACAAATGTTTACGGCTGGTTAACGCAAAAGTTATGCTTATTCTTAAATGCCATAGTGCAACAATGTCACGAATCATAGAAAACAGTACCTCCCATTCTGTAGACCTTATTTTTTCCTCCACACCAGCAAAGGCACTCAATTATTTCTGCTGTGAAGCGGAACAAGGGGCTAACTTGACTTAGCACCAAACTGAGATTTTGATGCCATATTAGAGTACGTTATAATCCACATCTGTCCACCAGACGGTTTGGTGCTAAGTACCATAGATTGGGGTATATAGGGGTTTGTAAAAGGGGCTAACTAGACTTGACTTGTTTTGTACGATAGTTGTCACGTACCAGAAGGCTACCAAAGGTGCTAAGTGAACTTGACCCCAAAGTCATCAGATTTTCTCAAGAAGCAAAAGGAGTGAGGTTGACTTAGATCCTTTCGCTATCATATTTTGATCGTGACATGTTAACTTGGCCCCTTTTGCACTGATAAAAAATTAACAGAGAATAATGTCAATAAAAGCATTATTTTGTACTGTCAGGTGTCCAGCATCAAGTTTTAAGGTATAGCTATACTATCTGGTTGAAATCGAACGACGAATTTGGGTTTGGCAAGGAGCTTTCATTCATAGTCTTTAAAATGGTAGAAACTTGGCTCTTTTTGCGATTTCTCCTCCAAAAAGTCAAGTTGACTTAGCCCCTTTTGCCAATTTTCCAATGACTTAACTCTAAATTCTCATCATGTGAAGAGAGTCAAGTCAACATGTCTCGGTATGTCAGTGATGGTAAAAAGAGTGAAGTCCTATATCTCAGTGAAGGAGAGTGATATTGAAAAACTTCCAAATGCCAGTAATATCATTGACAGAAGTGTATTCTATCTGCATCATAATTTTTTTGAAAAGTTATGTGCAAATGGTTTTTTGCGTTTGCTGAAAACCTTGGTTTTTGGACTTAGCCCCTTCTTCCGCTTCACAGCAGATTTTTCATATTTGCAAGGCCACTAAAAATCTTTGATTTTTTGCAGAATACTTGTGGCCTCCTGATGGCGAACTGTTGGAAATTATTTCGTAACACCACAAAAAATGCCCAGTTCATTTTTTCTACACAAATTCTTTGTTTTTAACGAATACATTGGTAAAATGACAAACAGTTCGATGCCTTCCAATGACAAAGTCCGATGTGTTGCGTTCCCGTTACACAAAGTTCGATTTGTTTCGCTCCCGTTTAACAAAGTTCGATTTGTTTCGCTCCCGTTTAACAAAGTCCGATCTGTTCCGCTCCCGTTACACAAAGACTGATCTGCTCTAGGCCGCTCTCGGGAGACCCAAGTCTAGAGCTCTACCGCAGTTTTGCTGTTAGAGCATTCAATTTTTCCTTTACAGTATGTTGTTCTTTTATCTTTTCGAAACAGACAGCAGCTTTTACTGTTTTTTCTACCGGCAATATTAGCAAAATATAAATATTATAAGACCGAGTTGCAGAGCGCGACGGAAATCAGATCGAACTTTGTGTAACGGGAGCGCAACACATCGGACTTCGTCGTTAGGAGGCATCGAGTTTGTCATTTGGTTGTTGAATAATCCTGGACAGAACAATCTTTGAAACGAACACTCGAACATCCTAATCAATTGACACTATAAAATTATGATGTTACGAGTACTACGGAAAAAGGGACTTCCGGCCCCAAATTTGATTTGTCGGAGCCATTTTACTTCAAAATTAGGGAAATGAATTTTCTGATATTCGATAAAGGTATTCATTAAAAGTTCTAATTTTGACAGATTGTTATAAATAAATCGACGCTTAAGTGATATTAGATAATCTAGGGCCGCTTCAGCCCAAAGAAGGGTGTGGTTCGCTGCCAAATGTCACAATTTTTCGATATAAAGCCTTTTTTACGATATAATAGACCATTTAGTCGTTTTCAACTCTTTTTCGTCAAAAAAGAATGCCCTCTATCACCCAAACGGTGCAAGATAGAGCATTAGGGACGAAATTTTCGACCTGAGATTCTACTTTTGAGAGTTACC